AAAAAAAAAAATAAATAAATAAAAAAATAAAAAAATCAGATAATTATAACATATTGATATTGTATTATATGCAATTTAAATTTTTATTATTGTTATCTTTAATTAATAAAAGTGACAAAAAAATGATTTTTTTTTCTTTTCTTTCTTTTTATGGTATTTAATTGGCAGACAACTCTCAGTTGGCCACTTTGAAAAAAAAAAAGAAAAAAAAAGATGATAAAATAGAAGATGTTGTCATGTACCTTATAACATAATAACACTATAATGAGATTCTTAAATATTAAAAGCAAATAGTGCTAATTAATTGTTTAATTAAGTTGAAAAAGTGATTAAATGAATGGCAGCTAATTAAGCAAGAATATTGAAAACGTGACGTCTTTTAATTGGGATCGTGTTTTTAGGTGGTGCTAAGATAAAATAATTAATTAATTAAAAAGAATAACAAAATTGAATTGGTTTTCTTTGTTATTGGATTAGGTAGATCAAAATTGTGGCGTCTCGAGCAGGTGTACTAAAAAGTTTCTAATGTGATCAGAATGATTGAGATTGACGAAGAGGGGTTAGCGCAGTGGCGCGTAACTTCGTTCGGCCCGAATTTGAGTCATTCGTGGAATTAGGGAATCAGTATTGATCCCTTAAAAAAAAGAATGATTGAGATTAATGCTGAAATTAGTTCCTCTATTTAATAATATATTTTTGTGAGTTTGTATTTATTTGTGCTAATTAAATGTTGTTGAGGAAGCAGAAATTTGATCTTTTTGATTTGTTATTCTACGTAATAAATAAACAAAAAGTTCTGATACATCTGAAAAGCCGAAACCAAGATTAGGACTTTTTGACCCAAGAAAGGGGTGTAGTCTCTTTCTTTGGTCTTCTTGGGTCGAAGATTTCTTGTGTTGAAGACTAGGGGAAGAAAAATAATGACTTTTTTTTTTTAAAAAAAAAAGTAATGATGAAATTATATAAATAAGATCTACGGGATTTATAAAATATAATATAAAATAAGCTAATCTCGATGAGTTTTCGCAATTCTTTTTTTTTTTTTGTTAATTTAAGCGAAACATATTAATAAACATATAATAAGTTATCGTAGATGTTTTATTCATCCCTCTAAATAATTTTAAAAATGTTTGAGCTTATAAAATGTTAAACATTTTATGAAGTGTTTTGAAGTGTTGTATTAACCTACCATATTTGTACTATATATAAATTAAATATGAAATGTCAACTGAAATTTCAATGGAAAAATACTGAAGCAGAAATTTCTAGTCCTACGAATATTTCTAATGTTATAACTAATGTTGGAAAAATTGATAATTTCAATAATTTTATTATTAGAACAATTTGATTCCAACAATATTTTTTCGGTTTATTATTTAAAAAATTTAGCTGGAAATATTGCTAAAGTTTGCAAAAATTAAAATTAAAATTAATTCTAACATAAATACGTTGGAGTTGCCATTGTAATCTACCAAAATTTATAATATTGAAATATTTATTTGGAATAACCGTTAGAATTCTATTAGAATAATTTTCCTACTTTGATAATTTTCTATAAATGTTCTATCGACTTTCTCAAAATGAAAAAAATAATAATATTTTTTTTATTGAAAATTAATGAAAATGATATTAAAAAAGAAAAAGGATTAAAAGATACAATGTATCATGAAACTCTTCTCACACAAAATCATTTTTATTTATTATTATTATTATTTTTATTTATTTATTTTTGTAACACTTTTTCACGGTTGACTGTAATTGAGTCATACTCTTTGTTATTGCGCACGCTGATGAATTAGTTTGTGGAATTTAATTAGAAAATTTGACCCTACATACATTTAACATTAATGTTTTGTCCATGAGAGAAACGACGTCAAAATTTGATAGGGAACATAAATGAGTGGGATAATACTAATACCACCACTTAAAAATGTCGTTGTTCTACTCAATAGCGCTTGAATTAGACGATTTAGGTTTTTTCTAGTTTAACTAGTGGTCTCGTGTTCGAGCCCTGGGAATGCAGCAGTGTTGAAATTCTTGAGGGAGAGCTTTGCCGCCCTTGTGGTC